GCAACAATGTCTTGGGGGGCATGGATTTTAGAGAGGGCCGCGGAACATGAGGTGGTGGCGGTTGCGACCGAGAAGGAGGAGGATGAGGAGGAGGAGGAGGATGAGATGGAGAGCAACAGGCTATTTTGGGAGGATTGCCTAAAGGATACAGAGTAAGGGATCATGTGGTTCAAATATTAGTTGTAGCTTGCAAGAAATGTTCATAGAGCATAAGCATTAATTTGGGCACTTAATTATAATTGTCCTTTTTTTTTTTTTTGAGTATGTATTATGATGTATGTTTGAGGAGTACTATTGCTGGTGTTAGGATATAAGTTTTAGTGAAGAAAGCATTGTACGTACATTTCAATGTCTTGACTAATAATAAGTTCAGGTTTTTTTTCCCCTTCAATTTTTACTAATTTTTTATGATTTTAAGTATTTGGAAATTTGGAAAGTTGTTAGATGATTACTTGTTCAATTAAGAACAAAAATAATGGTTTGCTTGTAAAAGGAGATGTTAAATCATGGAAGTTATTTTTTTTTTTTTTGAAATGTAAGTTCATGATAGTTTATTATCAAAAAAATAAATAAATTAATTAGAACGCAACATATTAAAGGTGAACTATCACTGTTGTCTTGATTTCATTAGATTACCTTTATGATATGTAGAATATAATTCTAATAAAGTCGGTTTTATATTATTATTTGTTTTTATTTCAGTTTTCATTCTCTCTTTTTTTTTTTTAAGAAAGAGTTGTACCACAAAATTTCATGGATACAACTCCTTGCTCTTTTTCCTTCTTCACTGAATTTGTTGGTGTACGTTTGGTCCACGAGAAGAGAGGAGTCAAAGTCAATTGCTTGTTTGAGCTCTAATTTTCACCAAAGAGACAAAATTTTCAAACTTTATGTCTGCCCAAAAGATAAACTACCAAACAATGGTTGGTTGCTTAAACAACTTAGAGATTTGGTTGGTTCAATTAACCACCAACTCACTTACCAATCTTGAGAGTAGAACAGGGGGAGAAATTTGCCTCAGATTCAATGTTTTCTAAACTCTTTGTGTGGGCCCAGTCAGATTCACAAGCCACCAGTTTTCCCTTCTAGAAATTAAGGAAGATGGGGGAGTAAGAGCTAAAAATTTTCATATTAACTATAAATAGCAAACTATGCAAATTTTAGATTGATGAAACTTTTAAGAGTGTTTATAAGCATTTTTTTAATATTTTGTGCAGCTTCGAATTGGTTCTCTCTCTCCCTACAGGCCATAGATAAGATCACACAGATATTGCAGTAAGAATTAACTTGATTTATTAAGAGACCATACATTTTCAATTGTATGTAGCTTACTGTTTTAAGGGTGTGCTTAGCAACCTTTTATGTCGAGACTGACCCAAACCAGTTTTGAATTATTTTTTGTATGGCAAAAAACTATGTCACGAGTTTTAGCTTGGACCACCCTTTCCCTAGTCCAAACTGGTCCAAACTAAAACTGGTCTAAGATAGAACTACGCTAGGATCAGTTGCGACCCAATTGTGACTGAATTGCCAAACACACACAAGGCTCCATCCTGAGATCTAAGTATCTTTTTCTTAATTTCACTCTGCAACCATCAAAAATCATACATAGTGAAACCAAGCCTATGTTTAGCCCTACAACACAATCTCTTATTAGAAATTTTGCAGAAAATAATCACTGGATGAGTTCTGAATACTTCATTCCTATTGCTCTGCAACTTTCCATAGTTTGAGCACATGCTAGCAACATTTATCACACAACAAAAATTGTTCATCATCCAAACACCACAAGCCAATGTTAAAATCACAATAGCAAGTATCCATACAATTTCACCAAGAGATTGTTTCATCATCCAAACAACACAATCAAAATTCAGCTTGAAGCTGAACAAAAGCCATCACAATCTCAAACCAAACAATCTAATAAACACTCAACCCCATGTTGATCGTCTAATATACAACTATTGTAATGAAGCCAATAGAGATTCCAGTCAGTAGGTCTTAAGGCAAATAGCCAAGTTAGATGTTTCACTTGCATCCTGTACCATTTTCACTTGCTCATCTTCCGAATTAGTACTCTTTGATTCAGGTTGCAAGTCAAGGCTAATGCTATCTCTAATGAGATCTTCAACACATCCTCTCCATTCTAATCGTTTCAAGAAGCAATCTTCGATGTCATTCATGGTGTCATCTTCGTCGTACTGAGTATTGATGTAGTACTTAACTTTGCAGTCATCAGAAGTGACTTCCTTTGGCTCGCTGCTCAACTCCATTGCTTGCTCGCTGTCAAGGTCATATTCACATTGTTGCTCTGACGAAGGTGAAGAGGAGAAGGTGGAGTACTCTCCTTCTAAATTTTCCTCTTCGCGCTCTCTTAGGGTTTTTAGGATTAGAGCTTTGAGCAGGTTCATCACTTGGACAGCATGCATCAAAGCTGTCAAAGGATCTGACATCTGATAAAAGAAATCAAGGGGACATTCTTTTAGTTCTTTTAGGCTTCATTTTCATTAGTAAATCCATGGATGTAACTTTTAAGAACATGTATGAAAAAGAGTGATAAACTCAGGACCTTGAGAAACAAGTAAGAAAATGTTTTCTTCTGCTTCTATGCTTTTCGCTGAAAAAACATTGCGAACAATCTCTTCTTTTAATGAAACGAAGAAGAACAAAGAATGATTTTACTCCTTTGTTGAGTTTGCTGTATTGTTTGCTTAGTTTAATCAAAGGGTAAATTTCACAAACGTACCACGAACTTTCAGGGGTTTGAATAAATCTAACAAACTTTCTATTAGACAAAGCTACGGAGAATATTTTTTTCTCACTAAACTGCCATGCTTGCTAGGGTAAGTTGTAATGTGCATCGTGTGCTATGTTACCTGGGTACTTCTAGTCCATACCCGACATGTACCTGTCCCATACCCGTACCCAAACTTCTTGAACACTCCTTACATATATGGGTATAGTTATTCGAGCATGTACTCAATTTTACATTACATGTTTCAATTTAAAGTACTTGTCATGATTTCTAAGGGTCGTTTGGATGTCTATTTCAAAAACTAGTAATTTTTCAATTTATAGTCCACATAATAAAAGAAACATGAGAATGTTATAGGAATTTTAATTCGCATCGTGTGCTATGTTACCTGGGTACTTCTAGTCCATACCCGACATGTACCTGTCCCATACCCGTACCCAAACTTCTTGAACACTCCTTTTACATATATGGGTATAGTTATTTGGGCATGTACTCAATTTTACATTACATGTTTTAATTTAAAGTACTTGTCATGATTTCTAAGGGTCGTTTTGATGTCTATTTCAAAAACTAGTAATTTTTCAATTTATAGTCCACATAATAAAAGAAACATGAGAATGTTACAGGAATTTTAATTCTCATCCTTGTTTACATATAAATTATTAGTGCTAATCTAATATGTGTATATAAATATTTATATAGCCGTGTTCTTGTACCCTACGTACGTTTTACAAATTTGTCATGTCACGTACCTGTATTGGTACCCATACCCATGCAACATAGATCGTACGTGACATAATTTGGAAAAAGTTTTCCCTTTTGAACATTATATATCTTCAACAGTACTACCCAATATTCTGTATTGGTACCCATACCCATGCAACATAGATCGTACGCGACATAATTTGGAAAAAGTTTTCCCTTTTGAACATTATATATCTTCAACAGTACCCCCCAATATTCTACCTTTCTCAAGAGTAGTTCAAAAAATTTATCCAAGCCACTGATGCCGTTAGCAAAAAGTTTCAATGAACTTTTCTGCTGTTTTGATAGTTGCTGATAGTTTTCTTTAAACAAAAAAAGCTTAATAAAACAGCTTATTATAATTATGTGCAAAACCATCCGAAGTTCACGATAGTTTTGTGAGATTACCCCCTTTTTAAATACTTAAATCATTAGAACTACTAAAATATGTATTGCTTCTTTCACTTGGATATGTATTTACTATTTAGTTTCTTAAAAGTAATGGAAGTCTAGCTGTAACGCATTCTATTCACCTGAGTCATATTTGGTGCAAAGACCATGGCAATGTTTCGCGCATTCATCTTGTTGAGTTCTTCTTCTTCAACGACATCAGCCATGAGATTGACAGCCCAATTTAGGAGGGCAGTTGGTGTTGGTGGAAGAAGCTTCACGAGCTCGACAAATTCTTCCTCTGTGTTACACTGAAGAACTTGTTCCGGAGAAAGACCATCAAGAACCCCTTCTGGAAGTTCTCTGAACCAGGCCTGCCCATTATGATATCAGTTTATGTTCCTTGTACTTTTAACTTTTAAGTATACGCGTCTAATAACTAAAATTGATAATTTATAAAAGAAAACTTAAAATTCTCTGTTGCTATTAAGTATAAGTATTAAAATATTATTAATCAATAATATGTTGTGTAATCTTATGTGATTAATCAGTATACTTTTTCTTCTTCGCAAAAGAAGTATCACTTTTCTTATTGCTGTAGTAAATCATGAGAACACAGTGTCCTCGTTCTTGAAAAAAGTGGACAAGGCATAGCAGAATATCAACTAGAATAATATTCACAAAGAGGAAACTTACGTCACTGTAAATTTCCCTGACTAAACTTCATTCACTTCATGAAGAAATATTTATAATGTAAATCCTCAGACAAAAAGATAAGTACGTCTCAATAAGAAACTTTGGCATAAATGTTATGTGGTCATTGCTGTTGTTGAAATAAGAAACAAAGTTAATAATGTGCGTGAATCGGAATTTTGTAGAGGCACAAGAAAACGTTTTCATTCCCATATCTTGTTTTGCTAGGAGACAAGTGAATTCTTCTGTATTCAAGATATGATAACTTTGTGAGATATAACTGAAAAAGAGCAAGATGAAAAAGAGCCAAATGTTATCAAACAATCAATAGGTCGTCCAGAATTTTCTTTCCAGTATAAGCAATTAGCATATTGTCCTTTGTCATTACTGTTTTTCTCTCTTTCCACGCATCAAATATCCAAAATGAAAAAGAGCCAAATGTTAAAACCGTTTCTACATATAATAGCTACGTTGAAGTTCAGGTTTCAGTTACATAGATGACAAACTGCAACAATACCTTAATAAGGCCAGCCAAGCAATGAACATCAATATCATCTGGCACAATTCCCCTATTGAGCTGCTCTCTCACATGCTCCTCCTGGCTGTTCTCCGGATTTATTCGAAAAATTCCTTCTGCCTGTTAAGTGTCATACCACATATTCACTTATTGTGCATAATCAATAAAACATGCATTTTTTACAAAGACTTAGTACCTTGAGTCCCCCTTGTGTATATAACCTTTCCTGCATGAGTAAGAGGATTGTCGGCACACTATTGCCTTTGGAATCGTAACAACACTGCATAGATTCTGCTGAGACGCCGAATACACTTGCGCTGCAAAAAATAAAAGCAAATTCCATATATAATCAAGTATCGCGACAAACTTTTTTATAAGAAGATTTAATGACTACAGGAATAAATTGCTCAAACAGAGACATAATTTATGGGTTTATGTAGTTTATAGTCATAACCAAGATTTGGCACTAAAAAGTACCAAGGAAAGTTAATATCTTGAGTGTTGACTCTTCTTCTACTATTTTTACACCATCTCTGTTAGCACATTTGCTATATCCACTCCCAAACAGTAATTTTGGGAGTTGGATTGCCAAAAATACCCTTTTGTTGCCCTTGTGTTATTAAATGTCTTTGTGTTATTAAATGCAACGTAATTAATACTCGATTTTAGCACTAACCGGATTTGTTTCTTGGGATATGTTGTGTTATTAAATGCAACGTAATTAATACTCGATTTTAGCACTAACCGGATTTGTTTCTTGGGATATGTTGTGTTATTAAATGCAACATAATTAATACTCGATTTTAGCACTAACTGGATTTGTTTCTTGGGATTTTTTTCCAGTTGCATATGAAACCAGGGGATCATCCGGTACCACCCATAGCATTTTACTGGAACGACCATCACGACAAATCTGCAGATGGTTTAGATGCACAATTTGCATTCTCGATCGGTCACTTTAACCGTCTCCACAATGAAGATGGAGAACGTCGAGCATCAACAAGAAGAAGAAAGAACAATTAATTAGGATCGAAAAAACAATTGATGTATTTCGTTGAGTAGATTAATACTTTGATTTTCTAATAAATTTTATTATTATCCTTCATTATAGTCTAACACTTCAAACATTTCAAACACTTAAACAAATTTTATTAACGATTTTAAAAATTCAAATTATATTAAAATTAAACCAACATTTATATATGTTCTAAAAAAATTAATTTTTTTAATAACACTTCAATGATTTTTTATGACCCACGGATTATAATGGATTAATTTTTTTTATAACACTTCAATGATTTTTTTAATAACACTTAAAAAAAATTTATGACCCACGGATTATAAACCGACACGGATTATAGTCTAACACGGATTTTAAATACACAATTAAAATGGAATTAGTTAATAAAACAAAATAAAAAAATTCATAACCCACCGGACACAGTGTCCGGTGTCCGATTATGCTCAGCAGCGAAAAGAGGACTGTGGACTCAGAATTAATGAACCGAATTAATGAACCTTAATGAGAAGCATTTAATGGTCGATGTAAGCTTAATTAACAATAAAGGGCAATTTCGTCCAAATGGTCGATGTAAGCTTAATTAACAATAAAGGGCAATTTCGTCCATCCACCACCCAAAGTTACTGTTTAGGAGTGGATATAGTTGGACCCCTCTGTTAGGAGCCTAAGATACCCAAAAAAACAAAAAACAAAAAAAAAGAGCTGATTTTTACAACACCAATTGTGCCGAATCTATGGCAAGTCATTTTTTTACAAAAAAAAACATAACAACTAGTTACTGTGCAGTTAGATTTTTACCAGTATTATCTCATGTGCAAATAATGGAATCGCTATTAACTTCTATATGAGGTTTAAAAGCACAAAGATCAAGTTAAAGTGGTCAACTATCCAAAAAAAATATGTTGCGGTGTCAGAGAGTGTCAACTAACCAAAAAAGCGAGAAAGCTAGTGAAGGCTCTAATTCAATTCAATTTACCTTTAGAATTTTAACCACTTTTTACTTTTTTTTTTTGGTACAATCAACTTATCATGAGTAGAAAAACACAGAAAAAAGCAAGCGCCGAACAAATAAATTTATCTCCTCGTTATATCAGCAAGTTTTAAAAACTCACAAGACGAAAAATGATGCTCAAAACAACTTTAGAACCATAGGAAATTGAAAAAGAACCCTCGTCAGATTTTACTAAGATTTTAAGTGTACCATAACCAAGGCAGCTCATTCCCAAATATAACACAAATTCTATGAAAATGAGTGCAAAGCAAAAGAATCAGCTCAATTCCACCTAAAAACACAAACTTTAACACCCCAACTATATACATTTCAGCCCAAAAGTTCAAAACTTCAAGAAAAATCACCAATTCAACCATACTTGCAACTTTACCCACCTAAATCTTGTTATTTTAAAGTATAGGGCTGATTTGAGGAGTATATATGCAAAAAAAAAGAAGAAAAAAACCCAGTTTTTTTCACAATCTGTACCTCGCACTCGGAACTCTCCCCGGGATCTCGACCTCAAACTCCACCGGCAACCCAAGGAACCCGTTAAACCTATCGAAGGTCACGTGCGCCACGTGCTTGACGTCGGTGGGCCACCCGATCTCCATCGCCGGCGGGATCTCCATGACGTCGTCAATCCCCTCGCCGGCCCGTTCCACTCTGCAGGACACCACGGCACCTCCTGCCCCCCCCCCCATGATCGCATCGCAGGAGCAACGGTCTATGATGCGAGAGCTGCCCGTTTTGTACCGCCGTTGCCGAGGAGGCCGCGGGCGCGCTGATGTGGCCGCCGCCTCGGCGGGCGAGCCAGCTGCGAGGAGAGCGAGCATGACCCCGCGCCATGGACCCCGGCCATGGGTTGGGTGTCAGGGTTAGGGTTTGATTTGATTTGAAATTTTTGAAGGAGGGGGTTTAAAGTGGAGTTCAAACGGCCACGAGAAAAATTTTGAAATTTTTTTTTTGGCAGGGAACTTCTTATTGAAAGGGACAGTTGATGGTCGGTTGCATTTACTGTATTGCCCTTATTGATTGAAGTGTGTAGGGCATAGGAGGTTTCGGGTGTGGAGTGATATTAACCCGACCCGGATTGTCTCCTCTCTTTTTCCCCAGCGAAGATGCTCACTAATCTTGATGAAAAAGAGGTCGTTAAAGGAAGGGGGGCAAGTTTTACTTGATAAATGAGGTTAATAATAGATTATAAGAATATGGTAAATATTGTGTATGAGTGATAAATGTGATTATTATGTATAATTTATTTTCAGAAACTCTAGCGGAGCAACTGTTTAGTGGCGCTTGCCCTATAATTGGATTACATAAGTGCAATCTAATGTGACGGCGATAAAATAGCTAAGGTCCTGACGTGGTCTGATAAGTCATTATGACTTCAGCGGGAGAGTGATGATGGCTCTGACCATGCATTTAATGCAACGGTGACTAGCTAACGCCATCGAGAAGACAAAGCAGATAGGTTCCCTCCGTGGTTGAAGATGTGTCGTCGGATCCAAGTGGAGATGCCTTTCGTCTTGGTCCTTCGAGAGAGCCCGAGTGAGGATGTCTTTCGTCTCGGGCTTTTAAGAGAAAGCTCGGGTGAGGATACCTTCCGTCTCGGATTCATTTTGTCACCTTAGGTCTCAAAGTGCTTTAAGGAAGGAAGCCGGCATTCATGAGACCTGGGTCGGGTTGGCGTTATAATGCTTAAATTTAGCTAGTCGAAACACATGATGTCCTCTCAAAAATAATTTACACTTAGCAATTTCTATGATACAATCATGCAACAAGAGCGAGTGTCAATAAGCATTCACTCCACTAGAATTTCCCATTCTATTTTATATTGATCTATAATGCTAATTGTACATATTTTAAAATGTATATCATTCATTTTAATACTCTTACTTCTTGTCAACTCTCCTGCTCGGCTCAACGTCTCTTTTCATTTAAAAGGACAAAGTCCATGGAATGTATTAGTCAAATTCAACCCTCGGAATCCTGTCGAACCTTATCATTTTGAAAATAATCAAAATTTAAAAGCTATAGATTGGTGACAATGTTGAACGTATTCAAGTAAAATTCCAAATTATATATATCTTTTTTAAGAAAAAAAATCCAAATTATCAGTCATTTTAAACGATAAACTATGCTTCTCACACTACAAACAAAACTCAATATAAGTCATATGAACCCAAAAATACATGATCCACGTGTAATATGTTACACTCTTGAATCCAATGATTCCACCAAATTTAAAGCATTTAATATATCTCCCTTGTAGAATATCAAAACCTAATAATCCAAACTATGAAATCTGGAGTTCCATCGATTTTTAATGCAGATGTATTCTCTTCTACTGAGTGTTCTTTTGATTCTTTCGGTGTATAATTTTTAATCAACTAAGAGGTTGCATGTAAAGTATTCATACATCAATATGTTGGTTTATATTTTTGTTTGACATTATTATTGTATTTTTTTCCCCTACATTGGCTCTTCATTTCAAATTTCAGCAGCATAACATCGTAGAGCAGAGTTCTATTTTAAGACTGTCCATTGGTCGCGAAGACCGTGTGTCGAAGTCGGTTCAAGACTGCATGTCGGTTGCAAGGACAGTAAGTCGAAGTCCTTTTAAAACTACAAGCCAGCCACTAAGAACATAGATCAAAATTTGTAATTGCATGTCATCAACCTGTACATTGTTTCACTCGAAACGCACGATGTAAAGGTTTCTCCCTCTTATTTGAAACATCTGCAATATCATGTAACTACAACAAAATTATTAATAACCTATATTTTATGCACTACTTCTCTAAACAACCTTATCTCCCACAAAAACCAAAAACTCTGGAAAAAAAAAAGTCAAAAACCGCTGAATCCACAAGCCACGCCAGAATCCAAAAAAAAAAGCAAAAGAATCCAACCTTTGAATCCTCCAAAATCCAATGCAAACCAAGGATCCAAACCCAATTAGCACGACTTTTAACGCAGGGGTGTTTCCGTAATCTACTATTTGTGCTGTGGGCTCCGTGCTGACCGCTTAGGTTATCGCACTTTTAATTGGCGGCATCGTAATTAGATAAGGTTAGTGGCATTACCGATAATAATACGGAGCTGCAGGGGCAGAAATCGAGACAGCGTCAAAACTTTAATCGACTTCGCTTCGGTGCCCGAGTTTTCGAGCGGGGGGGCTCTGTTTCATTTCCGTTACTAGTAAATGACGTTGGTGTCCCCGGCAAAGAGCGGTATGATGATCCGCAGGAACTTTGTTTTTAAATTTTTATGTGGGCTCCGTTGAATTAATGGGCCGTACGGTTGAGGAGCTGCGAATGGTGTCATGTTTTTCTTTTGAGATTGTTCCTCGTGCGAGGAACAGATTGAGCTCGAAGCACTGGAGATTTGATCTAGAATTTGATTTTTTTTTTTTAAATGCACTGTACTGGGCCTTTATTTCTTCAACTTGAATAGCTCTGATAGAATTTTCACAGTTTGAGTAGCGCTATAATAAATTATTTATAAAAGTAATTTATATAAGTGGCTGAAAATAACTATTTAGTAATGAAATATTAAAAATTATTTAAAAAACAGTTAAGGTGTTTAATAGAACTATGTTTAATGATTATTGTTAAAGGATAAAAGGTATATATGTTATATAAACTAAAAAAGCAGAAACTGCTGTTAAAAGCATCATGAAGTTGCTTTTAAAAAGCACCTCCTTAAAAGCAGAAACAGTTTTAATAAGCACGACAATAAAAATTTTACCCGATGGCTACTACATTTTTAAATAACGTTACATTTGTAGCTAAACTATAATTTTCATCCTATTTTTTAATAAAAAAGAAAAATTACGATATATTTCTCATGAATTTAAGTAGTAAATCATGACTTTCTAAGTTTATGTTACTCATATTTACTAAAGTAGCATAGAGTTTATAATCTAGCATTAGCATAGAGTTTTTACATGAAAATCACTTTAACTTTTGTCAAATCGATAATTACCATATTTTGCTTTCTTCTTCTTTTTGTCAAAACCATATTTACTTACATACATATTTGTAATTTCACACCAAATTGAGTTTTTAGCTATAAAAAAAATATGAACTTTCATGAATACCCTCACCCAAGCACGTGCAAAACACGTGCATCCTAATTAATTATAAAAAATAAGGGTTTTTTAAATATTACTCCCCAAATCTTTTATATTATGATGTGGGGACTAATATTGAAAAAACCCATATTTTTATAACACATTAGACTACACGTGCTATGCACACGCTTTAAGTGGGGGTAAAATGGGAAGCCCATGTCTTGTTTGTGCTGAAAACTCGGTTTGGTATGATAATGCAAACATGCATGTAAGTAAAATGTGTTTTTGATTGAAAAAAGAAAAAGAAAAAGTGATAACTATCAATTTAGATAAAAGTTGACATGATTTTCATGTAAAAACCATTAGCATAAATACAAATATTAGAAAAAGACATCGTGTCCTTTTGATCTTTTAACACCAAATCTCACGATTAGAGCATCTCCAACAGCTTCCCTAAAATTTTCTCCAAAATGGAGAAACAAAAGTCATATTCTCCAAATTATTTTTGCTCCAACTCCAACAGTTTCCCCATTTTAAAAAATCGTATTTATTACAATAATAAAGCTCTCCCCAAAATTTTGGAGAATGCTGCAGATTTGGGTAAACCTCATAATTTTTTCTCCTCCTTCCCTATTTTGGGGAATGAGATGGGGAATCTGTTGGACAAAAAAAAAGCTCTATATTCCCCAAAATTGAGTATTTCAAGAAGATGAGGAAGTTGTTGGAGATGCTCTTGGTAGCATTTAGTCTAATCTACTAAGCATTAAATGGAGAAATCACTCTTTAATCGACATTAGACTCTATATTTTGATGAAGTCTCATTTTTAATGAATACCGCCACATCACACGTGTCGATGACCTGCATTTACGTTGGTGAGAAAGCCGGCAGATAAAAATTACAAAGTTTTCTATATGTTAATTGAAATGAATTAGAAGGTTCTTTTCAAAAAAAAAATTAAAAAATAAATAAATAAAAATAGGGAAATAGGACCCAACCGGGTATTAGAACTATTAGTCAACATAATCTTATTAATACCCATCTTCGCCTTCAGACATTCGCCCAAATCGCATAAAGAGTAATTTATAACAATATTGTCACGATATATGTAAACGTAGTAATACTTTTTTCCGCCCTCACATTCAACATGATCAGAACTTTAATGAGAGATATAAAAAAAAATACATATAGCTCAAATATAATTACAATTAAGCCTTGTACTTTTTCATGCTTTAAAATACTCACATTAGAGCAGCTCCAACCGAGCTGCATTTCTCCAAAATGCAGCTCGGTTGAAGTCCAACCGAGCTCTAAATTTTGGAGCTCGGCTGCAAACCCAACCCCCCAGCTGCATATTTGGAGTTTTTTCTCCAAATATGCAGCCCCCTCTATTTCACTATTCCCCCTTAAAAATGTCAATATTAACTCTCAATCTCCTTAACAACATTTCATTATTCCACTTGTGTCCCATTATTATTTTTTACTTATTTAAAAAATATATATATATATATATATATATTAAATATTTTTAATGAAAATAATATCATTGGAAATGTCTCGTCGATACCTTCAAAATGAGACTAATATTGAAATATAAAATCTGTATATATATATCAATATTCACCCAAAAAATTCCTAATTTACCCTTCAAACTAACTAACTACTTTTAGATATCCACTTATGTCTATTTAATTATTAGTTTATAATTTTTATATATTTTTAAAATAAGTAAAAGAATTGTTAAATGGAGAGAAATTGAAAAGGAGTTGGAAATGGAGGAGTGTGGTTGGAGTTGCAAAGCTCTATTTTGGCATATTCCTTAGAATATGCTTTAGTGGGGACTCCAAAATAGAGCCAATGGTTGGAGTTGCTCTAACAGCCTCGCTCGAATTGGGCCTTTTTCAATTAATGGATCGTCTTGTATGTTATCCCACCACAAAACGATTGCGTCTCCTTTGGTACGCCGGAATGGGTGGGAATGAAATGTAATTCCATCTCTTTATTCATATCTATCAAAAATACAATGTATCTTTAGATGCTAGAATTGCTATTCCCACTTTATTTTTGGAAATAGTGTTTTAAGTCCATGATACTAAAAATTGAGAGAAAAAAAAGGTTCATAGTGGGATATCCCTGAATAAAGAATACAAAGGTATGTTAAGGACATTTTTTTAGTATTAGAAAGTTTATACTTATTGTATACTTATAGGTTTGATCAAGAAGTAGGTTTTTGGATTATGGTTCTCCAAAAGTGTTGAAGATTCTTAAGGTGAACAGATTTCTTATTATTAGTTCTTTTTTAAATATTTTTGGTATAAAAAAGGTCTATCACATATAGTAGTCTTATTTTAGTAAAGATAAACTATTGGATCAGACATGCTATTTCTATTTCAATCATAGAAAAATTAATAAAGAATTTTATGTTGAGTAATTATTTATCTATAACAAGATAAGTATTATCTAATATGCAAACTATTGAGAATATGTTTTAAAATTACTGTTCATATGATATTATTAAAATGTTGTATATTTAACAAATATAATTTAACTAGTACAGATTCTTGAATATTCTATTTTTATGAAAAATATATGAGAAAGTCTACAAAAGTGTTAAAGAATATTATATGACTTTTTGAACAAATAAAATTGTAAATGATATTTTGAGTGAAAAGAATTTATTTTAAAATGGTAAAATCCTCATAAGTCCACTATGCAGTGAAGTGATCTGTTTAAATCTACCATATGTATCGAATGTACCGAGTAGTGTTAAAGTTACCTTTTTGGGAAAAAGTGAAGTGGCTTTTGGGCAATCTCTAGTAGTACTAGGTACATTTTGTCCCTGGGTTGATGACCTATAGTGATTCGATGTGTATTCTCATGCTATTGGGCTATAACTTTCGCAGTCTTATTGTGGCAATTGTGGATGTTTCGCAAAGTGTGATTTTTATAATTTAAACATATTTTGTTCTCATTCATATTAGTTCTTAAAATTTGCAAATAATCTTTTATGATATTGTCACATGTTATTCATGAAAGTTTCTTTTGTTCGAAATCCTATATATTTCTCAAATTGTACTTTTGATAGCAACTTATTAAATATAGTATTGATAATATTATAAACTTGTCTGATCCGTTAATGATAAGTTATTTGCTCACAAAAATGAAATCTTACCCAAATATTTTTAATCTTTTTATATGAGAATTAGATGGCTCTATCTATGGCTTAGAGTTTTGGAGATATTAGAAGGATCTAGAAGACTGTGTTGATACTGAGAGTTTACAGTTATTTTAAGAGTAATATTTGGGTTTATATAACAAGAGTTTTTTGACTCATTAGGGTGATCTTGTTGTGATGTTGTTTTGCTCTGAGACTTCTATATGTCATTGAAGTTTCTTTTAGGTGACGTTTTATCTAAATTATGGAAGTGAACCACAGGGTAGGCACGTGCTATTCATGTGTTACTATTGTCAGGCATCTCAAAATATGTTGCGCATTTTGGGGTCGTGACAAGTTGTGATATCAAAGATTAGGTTTAAATGTCTAGGCTTAAAAGTTTAGAAATAATTTTAGAGCTGCCTTTAGTGAGTACTAACATTTTGTTTGTTAGCTTTATAACTAGATGACTAGAAACAACACGAGCACTTCTTCAACTCAGGATAGTGATTTGAACTAGACTTTGGGGTAAATATTTGGAGGTAAAAATGCACATGGATCTAGTTCTGGAGTGAATCACATGAATGGAAATGCTATACTACCGGTGATGTAAAATCTCACCACTATGATACAAGATCAGCAGCAACAAATTAATCAATAGCAAGAACCTCGAGACAATGATCATTCTCGATAGCAAAGTGATACGGTGGAGTATCAGAGGTTGGCATCGCTTTACCTTCGAAAGAAGTATTGATCCTATGGTAGCTAAATACTAGATCGCAAAGATAGAGAAAGTCTTTACTTATATGAAGTGTCTTAACGGAGATATATATATATATATATTAAATATTTTTAATGAAAATAATATCATTGGAAATGTCTCGTCGATACCTTCAAAATGAGACTAATATTGAAATATAAAATCTGTATATATATATATCAATATGCACCCAAAAAATTCCTAATTTACCCTTCAAACTAACTAACTACTTTTAGATATCCACTTATGCCTATTTAATTATTAGTTTATAATTTTTATATATTTTTAAAATAAGTAAAAGAATTGTTAAATGGAGAGAAATTGAAAAGGAGTTGGAAATGGAGGAGTGTGGTTGGAGTTGCAAAGCTCTATTTTGGCATATTCCTTAGAATATGCTTTAGTGGGGACTCCAAAATAGAGCCAATGGTTGGAGTTGCTCTAACAGCCTCGCTCGAATTGGGCCTTTTTCAATTAATGGATCGTCTTGTATGTTATCCCACCACAAAACGATTGCGTCTCCTTTGGTACGCCGGAATGGGTGGGAATGAAATGTAATTCCATCTCTTTATTCATATCTATCAAAAATACAATGTATCTTTAGATGCTAGAATTGCTATTCCCACTTCTTATCAGTTCTCACTTTACGTGAGAATTGTCATTCCCAACCATTTAATAAGGAATCAGTATTCCCACTTAAATGAAAATAAAAATAATCAAATAATTTTCGATTATACACTCCTTAAAAGATACGAATAAATATAAATTCCCATATAAAGAAATAATTTTTATAAAAAATATTAGTAGCTGCTCGTACAAATATATAAATAGATATAAAATATTAAAATACTTGTTCGACCTTGCCCTAGTTCGATATCACGTCCGTAGAAGAAAAAATCTCGTCTTCGCCTCGACGCCACTCGATAAGGTAACCATTGTTTCTTTTTAAAATTTATATGTGTTGGTAATTTTTACCTAATCTTTACAATAATTTTTTATCTTTTGGCGACTCAGTTAGCTAATCTATTGGCGATTAGGTTAGCTAATATTTAACATTTGGTGTTTGGTGTTAGATTAGTTGGAAACAATTCTTCAATTTTGTCGATAGAGCATCTCTAGCTAATTATTTAATGATTAGCAAAAATTTTAATAAATCTCCTCTTAAGACGACTAGAGATGCTCTATCGACAAATTTTTGCTAACACCAAAGTCGATAGAGCATCTCTAACACCAAACACCAAACGTGTAGAACATGTTCACCAGACAAACAATTCTTCATTTCTCTCTATAAACCATCCATGACTAATTACTGAATGATTAGCAAAAGGTTGAACAAAATTCTCTTAAGAATTGGTTACTGCAAGTTTATTTCAATAACTAATAAAAGACAATGTTTAGCAATTACTAGGAGAGTGAAATAAATATCATTTCTATAAAACTTATTTTTCTCAAAAAATGAATGATTTAGTCATTTTTAAAATATTTTAATATTTTTAAAATTCTGTGTTTTGGTAAGGACATTATTAGAAAACTAAGTTTTATTCTCACTTGTGAATAAATGATATCAAACGTGGGAATGAGAATAAAATTGTTATTGCCGTTTCATTCTCTAAATGCGCCCAAATATGAAAATAAGAATTAGCATTTCATTCCTACTTCTATTCCATCATGTTCCCATCTTCTCTTTTCTTGTTCCCATATGCATAACCCAGGTATTGTTTCATGTTTCTATTTTCAAAATCAATCACAGTTCTCATGGATCAGTCACATATATAAAATGATGCGGATAAAAAGTAACATTAATCA